GTAGTAGTAGTAGTAGTAGTAGTAGTAGTAGTAGTAGTAGTAGTAGTGGTAGTGGTAGTGGTAGTGGTAGTGGTAGTGGTAGTGGTAGTGGTCGTGGTCGTGGTCGTGGTCGTGGTCGTGGTCGTGGTCGTGGTCGTGGTCGTGGTCGTGGTGGTGGTAGTGGTAGTGGTAGTGGTAGTCGTAGTCGTAGTAGTAGTAGTAGCAGCCGCAGCAGCAGCAGGTTATCTAACTTCCACAGCTTATCTAGCTTCTGAGTCACTGCCACCAGCTGTTCAGAAAGCAAATGAACATTCATACAAAAGTACATATTTAATCTTTCGCCAGATCTTTCGCCAAAAAAAAAATTACTTTCGCCAACTCGAGAAAAAACTTTTGCCAAATGAGATTTTGATATGTTCCGGGTCATCGTCATACACACTGCTGACTAGGACCTTTAGATCGACAACCATATATTACATCAGTTTCGATAGGTCCCAGTGGGACCGGACGAGCCCTTTCCTTTTTGGGTTTCCTTTTGACTGAGATCACTTCCTTTGAAGCAACGTTGGACAGGGATCTTGATCGACGTGTTCATAGGGATAGAGGGCGGAACATGGCAAGCCTTCCGAAACACCCGCCAATCAATGCGGAACATGGCACGGACAGCCTGGTGAACCTTGGAAACCAAAAGCCAGTCAACTTAACTCGAGAAAACTCCTATAGGTACCATCCGCAGTTGACCCCTTCTGGGACATAAGCAACAGGAAGGGACATGCTCAGAGGTGCCTCTGAGCAGGCATTGGAACTGTTCGGAGTTCCATGGTTTATGACTTTCTGCACATTGACTCGCACACACCCCAAGGAACCTTCGCCCCTCAAGCATTCGACGCTGCGGAAGGTTCCCCTCCGGACCAGCCGCGCAGCAGGCTGTCAGCACACAGCCCCTCCTCCATCCACCTGCGAGCGTCCAACGAAGCGGATGCCCCAAATGTGGCGAGGAGTGCCACTGCCCCGTCCACTCGAAGGGCGCTTGCTGGTCCGCCGTAGGACCACTCACCGCGCTGAAGCGGAGCTGAAGGCACTCCGCGGCGCGGCAGAGCTTGGCGTCGGTGTTGCCGAAGGGTTTCCGCACCTGGCGAGGCGGGCGGAGGCCGGGAGGGCAGAAAATGAAAGGTTTGTTCAGACCCCGGGCCACCTTCCCCAGACACTCCATGGGACTGCCATATATGCCTACATTGACCCCCAAAACCACCTTAACTGATCGGCAGATATGGTAAGATTGATGGTTTTGGAGATCCCACGGTAGGGGAGCAAGTTGAAGCCAGGACCGGACATACCACCCGGAGCTTGCAGGACTGAGAGCTCCAACAACGGACAAGCAGAACAAGCACGAAACGCATGGAACGAATGGTGAACATCTTCAGGAAGACATGGGTCATGAGGTCATGGCTTTCCTATAGTCAAAACGTCCTGAGCCGGGCATCTCTTTCGATCAAGGTCACACGAAACGTCCTTCGGACTTTGTTCCATGGTCTCTCCACGGTTCTGTTTCCACTCCTCCAGCTTGGAAGATTCCTCGAACTGCCCACACCGGTTGACACGCGAAGAAACGTCTTGTTGAAGGAGATGTTCACTATATAAGCGCCACCATTTAAAGGGCTCTCGAAGGTTCAAAGAATGACGATGTTTCCATCGGTCCAGGTGTTGATATGTTCCATGCTCTATCAGCCTCCACTTCAAGCAAACACACCATGTTGAACAACCAGGAAAAAAATGAACAAAGGAAAGCCATTAGGTTGGAGGCCATCGCTGCACCTCTCCACCCTCACAGCACCAGGGCCTGAGGCCAGGGATGCAGGTCGTAGCGTGCCGCGATGGCATTCTCCGGCGCGTTCGGCTCCTTAGGGCCTTCGTAGCCATGCGCTGACAAGGGGTCGTGCTGCCAGTCGTTGTAGCGAAGCAGGTGCTGCACTGTTGCAAAGTCCTGAGGATGTTGGGCGGTTTTCTGAAAACAAAGGAGCCCAACTTGCAGGACGTTTGGCAGTGATGCAGTAAGAAAAAAACACCACACGAGATCTACTCGTGACCCGAGATGACCCGAGTTCCTACATGATCTGTGGCAGAGTTCCTTGAATTTTCGGAGGGTGCTTGCTCCACCCATCACCCCCGTGCATCTCCCTGCCTACGGCAACCCGGATTTCAGGCGGTCATAGTCAAGATTTGTGACACAGAACAGAAACAATAGCTTTGATTGATGGAATCTTAATTGAAACATCTGTATTGATTGAACCTCTGTTGTCCAAGAAATGTTCTTGAACTTCAAACAATCAGTTTGGGATCCATTGGCACCATTCATCAACCCGAACAAAAGCAACCGTGGCCTTAAATTGTCAAACTAGTACCCTGTTCACAGCCTGTTCATGAACAAATGGCTGGACTGTTGGGCCTTCATTTCTCTTGTCCCCAATGTTATTCCTTCATAGCATCTTGAAGGCTCGAGCAACTTCGAACGTCTTTGAGGTCTAAGAAAGCAACACCTTTTCCCCAAAACACCTATCAAAACCTGCTAACTTGCGGAATCAATTACCCAGCACAATTTCTGGATTTGAGCTGTTGAAGTCTACTTGGGGCTCATGGTCTCGACGTGTCTCGACGTGTCTCGCGAGACTCGCATCGAGAAGCAGTGGCACGGCCCACGTCGCGGGCAAAGATCTTCGCGCGAGGGTTCAGGGTGTAGGAATAAGCATCTCCAAAGCGTTTCTCCATGTCCTGTTGGTGGAATCGTGGCCCAACATCACTTGTGCGGATCCATTTTCACAGTTTGGCTCAGTTTTTCAACTGCTTCAGACTCATGTCCAAGCAAAGATGTCCAAACAAACCTTTCAAACAGCGCCTACAGGTGCGACTTCATTGTTTGGTCATAGTGACTTTTGGAAGTGAATGAAGGTCCTTTGATTTTACCCGACCAACACCCCAAAAAGTCAGTGAGTCAGTGAAGACTGGAACGCGAGTCATCAATGGGCTGGGAACACAGGCCTCTGTCTCTATAACTTGGAACCTTGAGTCAGCAAAGCACCTCTCCAAAACCTTAAGTCTCATGGAGCCTTGACAAAACACCCTTGATTAGTGGTCTTTAAGAACTCCCACTATACCCGTTTCCAGATCTCAAAAACTACGCGTGTGCTCTCAGAACACGCAAATTATGTTTGATTAGTATATATTTTACTATATTGGGCGATATTGGATCCGGATATATCCTATTCCGTGTAACAGTGGATGATGATGGATAGCAAAGGACTTACTATGGACTTATTCTAAAATAGTGACAATGGTCTACCGACTGTTACATGGTTTCTCACCTCCTACGATTGCATCTCTCTTCTTTCTGCGGTCTCTCCTCAGCGCCAGAGACCTCACGGATCTTTTGGAAGAAGGGTGAGTTGTAGGAGACCCAGAATCCTTGCGCCCGCCTGGTGAGTTGTTGGCTGCGCGGCGCTGCGTGCTTCTGTTGTTTTTCAGACCACGGACTCGTCCCAGAGTCCGGTGGACGCCGAGGGGTGAGAGTAGGTGAGAGTAGGTCCGAGGGCTTCGTCTGACCTCAAAAGAAACCACAAAGCAGACCTTGTTCAGATCTGAAAGGTTCAGATCTGGGCACGTTCTGGCACGATGTAATGTAAACAAACAACAATACTGTTATACAATGTTATATATGATTTGTTTAATGTCCCGTTCAAAAAACACGAGCTGAAGCTGGAGTTCTGTTCAATCGATCTTCTAGCAGGTGTCAGGACCGCATTTGGCGACCCTGAAGAGTAATGAGTAATGTAGACTCGTGATTCATAAACCGTTACCATTGGATTGAACAACCGCATCATACGGTGGGGTATTAATTGTGGATGACCAATCTGAGATCTTCGAGGGTGTCTTTGTGGGTGAAGTGTTTGATGAAACATGCCTACATTAGAGATTCGCATAGATTCGCCCTGCCAACGGTCATTCTAAAAGTAAAGGATCCTTTCAACATCTTTTCAATACTTCAGGCCGTCATGGTACGCATGGTTTTCGGCTTTCCCTGTACTCCAAAAGGGTCAAGCATTCTGGCCGCAACATCCACAAAGAATTGGCATATGGCCATGGTATCACTGGACTGGGAGTCCATCAAAAGGAGCGTTCTGCACTGTCCACCCGTGTCAAACAGAGTCAAACAGTCACAAGGTGTGTCGCTGCCCCGCCAAGATGCAGAATGTGAGTCACATCTTCCCACATGATGGTGCCTGGCAACAGGCTTGCAACAGGTACGGTCATGTAACAAGAAGCTACTAGGTTGGAGGCCATCAAAAGTAGGTTGGAGGATGTTGGAGGCCATCGCAAGTAGGTTGGAGGCTATCGCAAGTACGTGGAGGCCGTCGCTATTAGGTTGGAGGCTATCAGTAACAAGAAGCTACCAGGCTGGAGGATGTTTAGTGTAACACCTGTCTTCAAAAATCTGGTGGCACTGCTACGCACCAGTCCGTCAGTCCGTCAGGCGCTGGACCTGGCATTTGCTCCAAGACCGTTAGAAATCCATCTGGAAGATCTTCCTTCTCTTTGAACTCAGACATCTTTGCAATCATCCTCAAGACATGCAAAGATCGCAGAGCTAAAAAAAAAGTCTTCACGATCTCAAGAGACGTTTCTTTTTTCCGGAAACATAGCACAAATACAGCACAAATGCATGAAGATTACTACACACATGCGAAATCCTCGTCCACTGCACCCACTTCTTGGAAGCACATGAGTCACGGCATGTCTTGAGCTGTGAGACGTCAGGTCACCCGAACGTCTTCTGCCAAGTGGACAATCGACATGAGTCACGTCGCTCTTGTGGATCGTAATTGCTGGATTAGGTGCGTTTCAAAAGGGGCCATGTCCCATTCGCAAAGAGTCCAGTTTTGATCTTCAACCCCTTTGATCTTGATTCCGCCACTGATCTGCTGCTGAGCAGTTCAGGCGATCCCGTTGTTTAAAGCTGTTTTCCGATCCAAAGTTGGTTTCTCTCAAACAGCCGTCACTTGGTTCTCGTGGAAGATCGATGACGATATGAGAAGAGGATAAAAGGCCAGTCGTAGCCAGTCGTGATCCACCAGGTACGTTCGGTCTGTATGGAGCCAAGTGTCCATTGATTGTTGATGGTCCCTGAGTTCAAGGGCGAAAACCACTTCACCCAAGAAGCTCCATCCGTTGCTTGTCGGTTCGCAAGGAGCGTGCGAGCCCAGGTCAACACACATTCTGGTTGGATCAAAGCGGCAGTGCTCTTGTTGTACAACCTTGGCAGATGGGAAATCCACGTCAAACGCTTCAGCCCAAAGAGTCCATGAACCCGTTCATGACCTTCTTGAACCCGACTTGATCGGGGACAGGCATGCCGTTATCCATTATCCTCCAGAAATGGACAAGTTACGTTGGATTGACGCATGGCTTACAGGCATATCATGGACATCTATATAGATTCTCAGTATCACACCCTCTTGAACGTATGCCCTGTTGTCCTTCTATTGCAAATCTTGTGGAACGAGCATGTCAAGGGCCTCTGAATTCAAATGTGAGCTAGTCACCCAGTCGAAGACTCGTGCAGAGTCCCATGAATACCATCGAACACAGGGCAAAAACTCCACAAACTGCAGGTCCGGTCAAGTAAAGCCCGTCAGTCTGTTCACGCGCGTGCCCGTGCCTGAACCCGGATGAAACATGCATATGGATGTGTATGTTAATAGGGAACCCCCCCCCCACACCAATGGGTTGTGGTCTAGTCTATTGGTCTTCTTCCAGGGGGTCATTCGGCGGTCTCCCTGTTTCTAATACACATCCATATTGTGCCTGCGCCTGCATCTTTCTACAGGGGCTTCGTCTCGATGTATCTCAAAACGCCGCGACTACAGATGATAACTACTTGATGGTGTACCTAAATCATCCTAAAACCTATCTCGTTTGCAAGAACAGCATCATCTCCCCAAACAGAAGCTCCGGGTTACAACCATCTGATACCATCTGCAACCATCCTGGCCATCCCTCTTCATGGACTCATAAACATCCTCGCAATTTACCAAGTAGGAGAACAAAACAAACGAGGTCCTAACACAATACGATACAAGCCGCCAATTGAGCACCATCCCCCCCAAACGGATCGTGAACACAACAACTAACCCACTGCACGCGCCAAAACCCAAACCAGTCTCGGTTTCAAGCGACGAGTTGGTGGTCTCCTGCACGGTCAAGCCGGAGCTCAAGGCGTAGAAATCATCGCCACTGTAGAGCTGGCCATAGTAACCTCTGGTGCTTCGCATCCCCCGCGGGTCCCTTCGTGGGCCCGCGGGTGCCGTCGTTCGGGGCGTCAACGCGTCGGTTCGCGAAGTCCTTCGGAGGAGCAATGGGAGATGCGTGTGTTTAAACCCTCTTTTGACAGTAAAACAACTGACCCCCAAGCCGTTGGTTTGGAACATATAAGTTTTACAGTTTTACCTTTTTTCCACCTGAAACAATTTGAGTGGGGAAACCAATCCCTAAAAAGGTTAAAGGATGTTAAAGGTTATCCACTGAGGTAGGTCAAATGTGTGGGATTGGTTCGACCCTGATGCGATCTAGAAGCCACTCTGCACTACACGGTCTGCAGCGCCGCCCACTGGCAAGTCGTACTCCTGTGCACGCTTTGGGTGGGAAGTCTTACTCCTGCGCCCTTTTAGTTAATCAACAAGAGGCTCTAGAGGTCTTTGAAGTATGTACGTACAACAATGTAAACAACACATGAATGACAACAAAAACAAAACAATGTTGCAAAATCATAGCTGCTTCCAGGGCAGTTGGCATCTTCATCACGATGATTTCTGACATGAAGTTTCTGCTGGGGTCTCCGCACGATATTGCCTTGTTCAGTGCATAAACACCTGGTCAGAACATTCTTTGTTTCGTTTCTCGTGCTTCTTCCCAACTTAGCGACAATATCTCCTTGCACAATCCTACCTGCATGTTCACCCAATAACCTCAAGCATGCCAAAACCTTTGTTCGTTGCTCCTTTAGGAGTCGCAACATGGAGTAGTAGCCGGTCCAAGTGTTGTGGCCCATGTAGAGGTCACTATTGTTCGGCGCCAGTCGGACAATCGCCTTGCGACGTTGCCATGCGTTGCCATGCGACGGCCTTCCCATGTAGCTTCATGGGTTGAAGGAGAGTGATGATGTCACTTTCTTGACGAAGGCATTTTGGGGTGTTCACTTCTCTAGCACCTTGAGTTCTTCTCAGCGAAGCCTCTGAGAGAGCTGAGCGCGGACCATGGATAAAGGTCAGCAAGAGGTGAAAAGGTGACAATGGTTGGACATATGTTGGCAATTTTCCAGCGCATTATCAGCGCATCTATCCCCAAATTGGGCAAGTCGTCCTTAGGGTTCTGTCATTGTCATCACCTTGACTCTGTCGCTGGTATCACAAGCTTCTTGCATACGTCTGAAAGGCAAAAACTGAGTTTGCACGGCAACAAACATGTCCTGTACCAAACACCAACAAAACGCTCTACAAACTGCCAGCAGCAAAGCATCATCCTCTTAACATTTTGGATGGTACTCATGAACTGTAGTCGATGATTTCGAATTCACCATCCAAACTCACCGGCAGATGTCCAATGATTCCTTCATCATCACCGGAAATCCATCCCCCACAGCAACAAATTCTGGACTGAAACATCTGGATCACAAGCAAGCCGCATCTCCAACCCTGTCAGACTGTGTCATAGTTTGTTGCTTTTCGCCACAAAGATAAAACAAAAAAGACACATGTTCACCTCATGCACCCTCTCATGAACCCTTTGCCCCCCAAACTTGGGTGTTCTTTTCAGATCCTTCAACTCCATACTCCATTCAACGTCCCGGTTGCCGAGCAATGCGTCGACGTGCGCGTGTACTCCGCCGCGCTGGCGGCCGTCCATGTGGAGGGTCGTTCGTGAAGGGCCCACACGTCCTGGTGGCCAGAGCAATAACAGCACCGCACCGCGGCATCGTTCTGGAAGTCCAACCGGACGTGGACGTGGAGTTGGAAGGAACAGAAACCCTGCCATTTGGTACTTGGACCAAGGTCTGCCATTTTCCGATGAGGCAAGCTGATGTGGAGCCTCTGGCTGCTCTCCCCAGAACCTAAGCTTAGCCGGCCCACCCGAGATGCGAAGCATTGCCATGCGCGTCCCGGCGGGGTGGTCCGTGCACCATCGACTTTTCGCCTGCCTCGTTTGGGGGTGAAATGGATGGACACTGGCACATCCACAGGACTTGAAGTTGATTTACAGTATATAAGTTGACTGAGCCTCTCCAGGAAAGTGAATGGAAGGGATCAACACCCCAATCAACAGCCAGCTTGGAATATGGGCAGGCATATTCCAAGCTCTTGGCTTTGGAACCAAAGCAGGAAGCACCAGAGACACGGAAGATCTTGCCTTTGCTGAAATATCATATTGACAATTTACTCATCGCGTCTCATCTTTTCACCAAACTCCCACCGATTAGGAACGTCAAAACAACAAGTCTCATTGTTCCTTTCGCAAAAATAGAAAACGTGGATAGGCACATGTATGTGGGCACATGTGTGTGTGGGCACATCTTTGGGGAACCAGGGCAAGAGTTCTTGCCAAATGAGAGCTGTTCTGCACATGCACACCTCCGGCAAACATCTTACTCAATTCTCGTCTATACTATAGTGTGTCAGGCCGCACACTTGAACAGGAGCAGTCAAACTCACCGCGAAGTCATCTCCTGTTCGGCTTGCAGGAAAAGGAAGTTCATCAAGTCCAAGCAGTGCTTGCCACAGGTAGCAGCATTCCCAGCGACCAAACCATCCAGTTGTGCCCAAATCAGGGCCATTTGAGTCCAGTACTCGTCCTTTGAAGTTGCGATCTTTCTTCTGACAAACTGATCGTTGGACAAGAGAAAGGTCTTAGCTTTCACGTACTCCGGGTTGGAGTCATTCTGGTAGCTATACCTTTGCTGCCAAGGGAGGACTCATTGTCGACCAGCAAAAACACTTGCTGCGACTATCTGACCATTGGCTCAAACCTTCGCTGAGTCTATTGCTAGCCAGCTGTCTTCCTTTGTCTCCCCCTTGCACCAGGTCACCCTCATACCACTAGTGGTTGATGGGAGTCCCACACAAAAGAATGTGGTTCCGGCTTCTAAGATATCTAAGAGAGTGTAGTTTGATCTGAACATGGACTTCCCACCTTCATGCAGCTTTGATCTGCTTTCCATCCAAAAGGATGACAATCCAGCCGACCTTCCGCCGACCTGTGGGCCAAGCTGCCCAGCACTGCACTGACGGTCATATCTTTCACCCAGATTTTCCACATCACATCAGCGACTCCTCCAACCGCATTTGTCATTCTTTTCTCGACGAATGAGCCAAGTGGCCGGAAGAGGTTCTCCCAGTGCTGCCACGTCCTCTCCGCCGTCACAGCGCCTTCCACGAAGCCAGCGGCATAGGCCACACGCAGCGCGTCTGAGGAAGGGTCTCGGTGTCCTCGGGAGATCCTCGTCTCGGTGGGGGGCAGGCAGTTTTGGGTGGTTCAGTTGGCGCAAATGATTTATATAATATATATATAGATCTGTGCAAACAAGAGACAGTATGTTATAGTAATGGCCACATGTATCCAAAGAAAAACCAATGAACTTGTGAATGAAGATGTATGAATCATGTTACACAATTTACCGTATCTAATCGATGACCCAAGGTTGGACCCAAGGCAACCGCCAAGGTGTTTCACGGGTAGATCTTTAAGTAGATGAAGTGTTCAGCCGAGTGTGTTGAGCCTTCCGCTGGAGCAACAAACATGTTCGAGAAAGCCATCCGTGACACTGCGGCGCAATGGGAGCTAATCTAGGACTCCGTGACACTGCGCGGGAGGAGGAACATGTCGGGTCGTGTGCTCTTGGTGACTTGGTATACGCATGTACAGTAGGTTGGAGGCCACCAGTTGACCAAACCCGGTTCTCGGCACTCGAAGCTCCCAGCTCCTCTCCCCCTCTCCACATGAACCCATTTCAGATGCAGCTGAGAAACTATAAAGACCACATACAGGTTCCATGGAGTTGGGTGCCTAATCCAGGATAGGGGTACCCAGAAGATTCCACTCACTTAAGGTCAAAACGACCCCTGGAGTGCTGGAACTCCTGGTAGAGTTCGTCTGTTCTTCTCTTGTACCAGTGGGTTGGAGATGGATGCTACAGCCCACGAGCTCTCTCATCCTTCTCCACTCCAAGCGTCCCACGGACATGCAGCCGCGACCAACCTGTCTGGTTCAAGGTCTCTAGGTAGCGAGCCTCCGCATCAAAAGGATCGCTTCCACTGATCAAGCGACACTGGAAGCCGCCCTGCCCGTCATCCGCCTCTTCAGGCGCATGGACCCGGGTCAGCGTCGCTGCGTGCGGAACCGGCGACGCTGCGGAACCGTTAACACGTTTGGGGTGACGTTGGGGTAGCCTGCCTCAGTGCAACATGGTAGCAACGCTCCACCGGGGATAAAGACTGGGAGGTTCCAGCATCAACTAAGTGAGCCGTCCACAAGCCACAGCGGCTTTTTTTGGAGCTGGATGGATGTTCTGTACCGCCCCCGAAGCAGATCTTCCAACTATGCAACACTTTATGCCTTTTCATGTAAAAACCTAAAGGCATGAAAAGGCAAACATGTTGCATATAGTTGGAAGATCTAGGTAATACAATTACATCTGCTCAAGTTGGACTATGCTGAACTTCAGAAACCCTGCGTGTCCCAGTTGCGCACTTGAATCTTGCACCTTTCCGGTGGATTTCCCACAATGTCATACCCAAGAAATCCCTAGCATGTTGCGTACTTAGTACTGCACATCTCACACACACACCCCGCATACATCCACCCCTCCGCCGGCCGCGGCCTCGCAGCGCGCGCGGAGGATCTCCCAGACTGGACTTGGACTTGCGGCCGCCAGCCGCAACGCAGAAAGCAGAATCAGACGCTGCGTCGTTAGCATCGACGAAAGAAAGTGGATCGGCCGCCTGATGTGATTTGGTGCCCACTTGTGAGTGTATCTTTTTCTTTGAGCCAAGGCCGTCAAGAAGGTGTACAGTGTACAGCTGAGTGCACCCAGGTTAGTGTCATCTTCTGTCCAACCCAGAAATGTTCTGGATGACCAAGCCGAGAAACACACACTTCAGCGTGCAACAGCAGTTGCGCTGACAAGCCGGGTGGGGAATTCATCTTGACTTCTTGGTGCAAGAAACGAACTGCCTTGCCTTCGTTTTCTGAACACAAATCACAAACACACAACCAAACCCAAAAGGACCAGACCAAACCAAAAGAACACCAAACAACACACAAATGGAAGGACACCTTAGACTCCGTTAGACTCCCAACGTCTCAAAACCAATGAGTAAACATTTGTGCCACTGAAACGACTCCTTCTCTTTCGCTGGTGTATGGCCACACCAATGCACATCCCATGCCAAAGAAAATCCAGCACAGCACACATGTTTGGATCTTTTTCAGTGTCTTCTGGAGTCACTGGATGATTCATCGGACCATCCTTGACCGAAAACCCACCGCCATGGCCGCCTTGGAGCGTCGCCCTCCGGGTTGCAACCTGGGCGGAGTTCGGCAAAGAGGCACGTGGAGGTTTCCGCGTCCCACGGAGACGGCGGAAGGGCGGAGTTCGGCACGTGGAAGGGCGGAGTTCCATGCGCTTGACAACGAAGCGAAACACCACGATGTCGTGAGAGGCAAACAGTTGATGTTGATTGGTTGCTTGATGTTTGGTGCCGTGCAGCTTTGTTGAGTTTTTTTCAGCCAAAAATCTCAGGAGATCCGGAAGTTGAGATGTTGCCATGAAGAACTGGCGAAGGACTGTGGTGGGGTCTTTGTGTGCGCTTCGATACGAGTATCAGCCGGGACTAGGAGGGCAATAAGTCACATACATACCTGAATACATGCCTGTAGAGCTTCGACATGTAAGTGGATTTCCAGTGGATTTCCATGCCCATCCCGCGAAAGAACTAGAGCTATAGATGAGCTAGTTGACTCGTGGCAGGGCGATCCGCACCTTGTCGCTCTCCGAAGAAAACACCTGAGATGTGACCTGCAAAGCCTCGACACTCCACACTGTTCGACAACATCAGGAAAGGCCCCGAGGCTTCGACAGTAGTGGTCGCAAGTTTGACCAGTTGGTGTAAACCACAACTTTTTGCAGGTGCAGCCTGCAACGGTCAACCTGGCAAAAGCACTTGGGACATCTTCTTGCTATGTGATTCAAGATGTGTGTTTCCCAGAACTCTGCGAATCAAATCCTCAAACTGGGAGAGTCGATCAACAAGTCTGCTGACACGGCAAGCTCTACAGAGAACCCTTTTTAGAATCCATCTATCACATGCGCCGCTGTGCCTTGCCCGCCAACACCCAACAACATGGCCACAAGACCCAAATGTCCCTGGAGTCTCTATCAGTGCACGTTTGCGCCAGGGGTGCATAGCCTCAAAAGAGAAGGTACAGTAGAATGATAGCTTTTGGGGCACATTTGGAGACTCCGAGCCCAAAGACAAAAGTCTCATGGCACCTTGGAATATCCAGCGCAGCAGGCACAGTACAACCCAAGGTGTAGCTACGATAGTCTGGCAGTACCTGTGGCCGAGTGTCTTGGGAGAAAGCCGTTCACGTCTTCTGTGAGAGACATCCTCCATTGACGGCCAGAAATACTGCTCAGCGCTTACTAATAAGCAACTTCTGCGCAGGTGTGCAAGATGGGTGGCCAATGATGTGGTCAAGTGGGTTTTGAGGTGTACTTTCTTCCACATATCTCTCGTCATCTCTCGTCTACTTTCTCCTGTGTCAGGCCACTTTTAGGTCTCTTCAGCAAGGACCTTGTCCAGAATCCTAGTAGATCCTACTAGTTACTAGGTACAATTGAAGAACCAACAGCAGGCTTTTGGTCTTTCGAATATGGCCAATGGATTGACCGGGATCAACAGGCCTGGCGCTCTACCAGCTGACCAGCTGACAACAGGCTCCACTCCACTCTGCCTCGATGAGCTTGGCAGGGACCCGGCGGGGTCCAATGAGGCAGTCGAAGTGAAAGTCTGCCAGCAAGCGCGGCCATGAGGTGATCGTCACAGACAGATTGGTTCCTGCCAGCGTGGTGATGGGTCGCCACCGAAGGTGATGGGAGAAACCCCTGCTCCCACACCCCCATCACCTCCTCCCTCGGTCGGCAAGTTTGATCGTATTTGCGATAGGTCCGCATCCCAAAAGCCTTTAATTGACTTAAAGCCCCCTTCTCCACTCTACCCCCCCATCCTGCCGACCTCCCCATCTCTCCCGACCCGTCCTCCAGACGTTGGCCCCATCACCGGCGTCACTTGCGCCAGCCGGAACCGGAGCTCCGGCATCCCCTCCGCCGCCGCCGCGCCGCTGACGCCGGAGGCCGCCGCCGCCGCGTCGCCGCGCCGGGCGTCGGGGGGGCGGGGCAAGGGGAGGCGGCAAGGTCGGTTGGAAGCGGAAGGTGAGGTCCAAGGGCTCAGACCACTCCTGGCGCGGATTCCAAAGTGAGATGGAGGGATCGAAAGAACGCAAGAGTTACAGGGAGTATGCTTAGGGGTAACAAAAAGGAAAATGGACTGGTAGGCAATGAAGAGTTGTGCGGTAGTTGCCACTTGGATGGTGTTCAGTTGTTGTTTTGTAACGAGTTTGGAATTGAGAGAGGAGTCTCAACTATATGCTGCTGTTACTTGCCTTCTCGAGAAACATGCATTTTGCGACGAGAAAGTTCTTATATACTTTCTTCTTTTTTCACAAGACTGTCACATCCGCATGCCATTCATCCCATGTCCTGACCATTCAAGGAGACATGGAGCTTCACAGCACCATCCCCCAAGCGCTTCCAGGAGTAGCTATCGGGAGTGGGGCACAAAATCAAATGTGTCGAGTGGAACTCTGCCAAGGTGGACACGAAGCTGGTGTCCCACCCCACCTGTTGCCGCACGGTGGAGTGATCCCGAAAAACGCAGCGAAAAAAGAACCAAAACTACCCCGGCGGGAACGTTGTCGGGATTTTGGATGCACTTGGAACTTGAGTGGTCTCCACCCCTGGCAGGCAGCTGCTGATAGTTCTTCTAAAGGCCTTGCACTAAACAACAAAAACATACTGTCGTTGTGGCCACGCGTCCCATCATCCAAAACCGATGGAATGAATGAGCACCAAGCAACACACAAGGATCATCCAGGACCCACTATCAGTGGTTAATGGACACCCCTTAACCTCTATAAGGGGCCATGATGGGTTACATTTATAGATTCTGTTAGATCCTGTTAGGGTGTCCTGCAGGGTATTTATCACGTCAAACATTCCAGTATTTCGTTGGGCAAAGTGCCGGCGGCATTCGCGGAGAGCGAACCTCTCTCAGTCGTGGGTTCCCGTCGCTGACCCGATTCCAAATACCTACGACACGAACGCATTTGGAAGACGAACGACGAAAGTCCCGACGCGCCTGGAATATGGATTTTGATAGATTGGGGCGTCCGCATCATATTAGTTATGGCTTCAACAAGCTGTCACCTGAACAATCCACATCATGCATATCATCTCTACATCACTTTCACCTCCTTCCACCATTTCACACGCACACACACACACACACCTTCACCATCGGTCGGTTGACCCGAACTCGTTCGGCTCGTCTCGCCACACCCGTCGCACCTCGCGAGTCACGAAGAAGTCGCCACCGGCGATCCAAACCTCCACGATGGGCGGCAGCGACTCGTTGGCGTCGCTGCCGGAAGCATTGGCCTGGGCGCGGTGAATTAGGTGGTCGGGCGGTGGGAGTGTTTTGGTGGGTGTGTTTTGGTGGGTGTGCTTGCCTTGGGGGGAGAGTGGGGTCCAGAAGTGGAAGTCCCCTAAGCAAAACATGAATTTCATGTATAGACTTTAATAGATTGAGGATGTTAAGATGCAGTCTCCCCACACGATGAGACTAGCGATGGTCAAGTTCCATCTTCCCGTGGCGCCAAGGTTGTCCATGTGTCCGTCAGGTGGTGCGATGGCACAGGAACAAAAATGGAAAGACCGGAAACACGATGAACCACATTTCTTGCCATGGCATGGATGTGGAGCATTGAAAAATGTCTCCAAAAGCCACTGAAAAAAACACATGAATTTACACGACCTCTAAATGATTGCAATTCGGGGGGGGAATTCAGATCCTTGAGTGAACAACATCTGACAAGCCCCACTATATAAATAGACAATCCCTGGTTGTCATTCCTGGAGCATCCAAACCACACATCTCGCATCTTTGCAAGCTTGAAACCGTGAAATTCTCCATGAGGAAACTGCTAGTGGAACTGGTGGTAGAACTGGAGCTGCTAGAAGAAGTGCTGGATGAGGTGCTTGATGTCGTAGAAGAACTGCTGAATGAACTGGACGTGGAGCTGGTGCTGGTAGTAGTGCTGGTTGATGAGCTGGATGTGGAGCTGCTGGACGTTGTGCTACTGGAACTGGTGGAGGTGCTGGACGTGGTGCTTGTAGTGCTGATGGTGCTAGTACTGCTTGTTGTGCTGGAGGTAGTGCTTGTTGAGCTGGAACTAGTGCTAGTGGTGCTGGTACTGGTCACGCTGGATGTGGTCACTGTGGTACTGGTGGTTGTTTCATTGGACTCATTTGCATCGGAGAGCTCCGTTTCATTGGACTCATTCGCATCGGAATAATCAGAGATGTCTTCCTCAGTGGAAGTGGTGGTCTCCTCCGTCTCATTCTCTACATCGGAGAGCTCCGTCTGATTCTGTGGACTTCTATTCTGGAAGGACAAATTCCAATCCTCATCGAAGCTCTCGTTCCTGGGCAAGGATTCGGCGAGGAGGAGACTCCGACTCCATCGACCGGGCTTCTCCGCTGTCACTTCCGCTGCTCCTAAAACTCTCCTCCATCTATGTTCCGGTTTGGATCTGCGCCCGAAATCACAAACAAACATCTCCAATTAAGTATAGATTTACTCCAAAAAGGACCCTAGGAATCTGAGAAGGCCATTGGAGGCACTGTTAATAGGTGCCAGGAGGGTCCAAGTACATTCTGAGAAGGTACGACTGGATCCCTAGGGTTAGGATTCTCTGGACTGTCCCCTCTTCCTTTTTCGCACGAATCCGGCCCACAGGAGCCCCACGGCCGCTTGGTACCAGGCTTCTCGGTCTCATTGTACCATGGTTGGCTTGAAACGACAGGAAGAGTAGAACCTCACTGGAAGAAGCTGAACTCAGCTTCACAAGAAAGAAATAGCTGAAACATGTTTTAATCCAGCCCTACAGGATCTGGGGGAGGGGTGGATGAACATGTTGATCCCTTTATTAAGTTACCCGAGGGGGCACATACCTGATTTTCCAAAATTATTGAGGCGGTCCCTCAATTAATTTTCTATATATATATATATTGCTTAGGGCCCCCCACCCTCCCTAACTCACCAACACATCACAAACCACTCAATAAATTTCCGCTCCCCAGGTGGCAAATCCCCCATCCACAGCCACGCCCATGTAATACGTGAGCAGCGCTCAAAAACCAGGCAATAAAACCAGGCAGCTAAAATTAATTCAGGGGGTGCTACAGTGTTGGCCTCTGGAGGAGGGGTCGGTTAATTTATTTGGCCTGCATAGGCCTGGGAAAGTGCAGGGGGGATGCGTCACCAGCCCCACAAGAACCAGGCAGGAAAGTAGCAACCACACTGAAAGCCAGGCAGGAAGTAGCCACCACACTAAAAAACCAGGCAGGAAAGTGGCCACCGCATGCAAACCAAGCAGGAAAGCAGCCATCACACTCAAAACCAGGCAACACCAATTAATTCAGTGGGGGTTGGTGTCTGGAGGAAGGGTCGATTAATTCAGTTGGCTAGCTTGATTCAAGGTACACCGGGAAAATGCAAATTATACTTATTTTAGATCTATTCTTTTTATCCGACTTAAGATTGTCGATAAATCGTCGGATAACAAAGACAATTGAGAACAAATTAGTTATATAGTGGAGGGGTCATACATTTTGGGACTCCTGACGACACTTCTCAGGTTTCTGCAGCGAGGCGCGCAGGGCTGGGCATGACTGGGCAGGTTCACCATCATTCATAATTCACCCAGGTTCACCATCATTCACAATTCACTGACGAATGCATGGAAGGAACGCACCTTACAATATTTTGCAGTGAAGCTGTCCAAGGCCAGGAAAGCAGGGAACACCCCGTTAAAGGCGCATCTTGGTACCAAATGGAACCAACTAAGTCTGATGTCAAACAATCTACTGGAAGGAGAGTAGATGGCACAATCCCCCAAAGATGGTTTCACTGTAAAGGCTCTATAGAGACCTCCATGTCCAAACTTGAAGGAGGTCCCATGCCGAAGCAGTTCTGCAGTTCTCAAAACACAAATACACTGCCTGAAACGGTCATGGAATTGGAGCTCACCACCTATTTGATATGAGGATTGCATGGTCTTCCTTACCGGCCCAGGCGGCTCAAACACCATCGATAGGAGATCGAGTACAATGTCGTGGGGAATCGGTATCTCATCGTTCGGTGTCCCCATATCGGTGTAAGCTATAGGGTAAGCTATAGGGTAAGCTATATGATCTACAGGCACACCGTACCAAGAAGAACCTGATTTAGTATATGATATACACGCACACCGTATACCATATATGAAACCCCTGATTGATCCTTGATTTGGAGCCCAACACATGGTGTTTTGTCAATAAACGGTCTATATAAATGGTCATCTTTCTCAGATGTGGACCACGAAAGTAAACCAGGCCACTAGAGGTGCTCACAGTGGTCGTTGTGATGGTCACTGTCGTGGAGGTCATCGTCCGGGTCGTGCTCGTGGTCGACAGCGTGGGCGCTTGCGTCGAGGTGCGAGCCGTGGTCGCCTGGCCGTGCGAATGGCCATCGGAAAGGGTGAACGGAGGCCCCCCTGGCATGCGTGTCTGTTCGGGGGCGGGGGCTCTGTCTTGTTTTCGATTTGTTTATTGTTTCTCTGTTTTTCTGAAACAAGATCGTGGCCATTCAAGTCACAATGTCACAATGATTGCTGTTGACAAGCTTCTCGTCTTGTAACAAGCTCTTTTTTGCACTGACCCATATGGGTGCGAAATGAGCAATCCTCGCCGTTCTGCATGTTCAGGACTGACCAATCTTGGACTAGCCAGTGTGTCATATCCGGTGTTGTGTATGCGACTATCCGAGTCGAACCCTGAAATCATGGTTGTTCAGAATCTGGGAAACATATAGTGGGAAACATTGGGAAACCAATCCCCCAACAAGGGGACCCAGCTGCAGCTGATCCATTCTTTCCTGGGTGTCGTGTATTTGATGGCCACGTTTTGGATCGTGACACCGCAATGGACGCCATCCGTGAATTGTTCTGTCCTCATGCCATCTCGTGCCTGCCGCGTGGTCGGCGGCAAGTTCATGGCGCGGTCTTCCAGCCATTCCGTCAAGTTCCCCACATCTTTCAAGAACTGCAAATCACCCCTGCAAGATTGGAGCTGAATGGCACAGCCCTTCTGAACGGCACAAAGCTTGGAGCTTCAAGTCAAAAGGACAACACCTCCAACCACAAAACATAGACTGGAGATGTAAATATAACACAAAACTGTATAATATGATGTATAATGATGTCTTTAGTACGTTTAGTACCCTGGAAGTCAAAGACCATTTTAACATGGTTGATCAGGTTTTGTAGTGTAAAACCCCTAGTGAAACAATGGTTGTTCGGTAAAGGCTATTAAGACCATGGTGGTTCAACTTCTAGGGTATATACACACTTTTAGCGAAAGATCCAACCAACTTAATGAAAAACCTCCTCTGTGTGTACAACCCGTGCCTGTCATAGCCCAAGTGTGTGCCCGCAAAGATCCTCATGTGGCCCTGAAGGCTACGAGCTTCGCCCTCCTCGAACTCCGCCACTAAGGAGTCCTCCACCCGAGGGGCAAAGGGCACCGCCTCGACGGTGCCAAAATCATCGATGAGGTGATAGACCTGAGTGTGGTTTTCGGCACCCGCAAACATGGCTCAAGAACATGTGAGATCTGGTGTGAACCTGTCTTTTTTGCTGGTGGCTGACAGGTTCTTTTGGTGGATTGATGAATCCTTTTATGATGCCTTCTGTCCAGTGGGGTTTAGAATTGCCCCAAGCCTTTTCACTTCACTACTTGACCTGTTTGTAATCAGGTGATGACTCGTCCGAAAAAGGAGTTAAAAAGCGTCTGATATGCCTCAGGGAGTCGAACACACATAAGTTAAATTGGAATTAAATTAGATTGGCACTTGTTCCTAATAGCTTCTTGTTACTACTAGTAAGGCACCTGTTACTAGTAGCGTGGCACTTGTTACTACTATAAAAAACGTCTGATATGCCTCAGGGAGTCGAACACATGTTGCTTTCATGCTCCTTCTTTGAATGACATGACTCAGACCTGCGGGTGGAACCCGAACATCGCCTGCACGTTCCAGAAAACGGACGAGTGCTTTGGGACGAGTACCGTACTCGCCGGTGTGGACTCAAAGCAATCAAGTTGCAATGCGAAGAAAAGACACTTGGCCAACATGTAGGTTCGACATGTTCTCACCATTAAAGAAACAACTGTGCTTTCCATGCAGCCTCCACTATAGCTGGTGGTCAAGAGATGTGAAGAGCATTTCGCGAAATCGGGACCCAGGCCGTCGGAACTGGCGACGCAGAAAGACCCCCGCGCCAAGGCTGTTCCTTTTTCGGAAGAAATTGCCGCCAGAACCAAAAAACATTCAATATATATTATATATATACTTCAATATATATATATATACACCTTTAAGTTTGTTTCATCGATGGATGTTGGTGGGACTCCCAACCAAGCCACCCAAGTGCCATCCATCATGTAGGAGACGCACATAAAGGGATCCATGCCGATACCCAGTGGCTTGGCCGAAAACCTGAGATGCCGAGGTCGCGCGCCCCCGAACCTGGTGAGACCCCACTGGTCACCTGAGTTTTCACCGTGGCACTGGGAAGACATCCCCAATCACTTCATCAAAAGAAGAGTATACGGTATGGGCCACTTTCGCGATGGCCGATGGCCTCCCTCCAACCTACTTACTCGCGATGGCCTCCATGCCTCAGCGATCATGGGGCGACCTCTAAAGGTACAACAGCCACTGTTCAAGGTTGCAGATGTCCCAGTGAACGCTGTTTCCTGAAAAAGAACCGCTTCCCTCAAAGAGGACAGTCGTCATGTTCCAACCTGATGCGACACGAAGCCAATCGCCAATCCAATGGAAAAGAAGAACTGGTGTGTGTTTCTTTGCCCCCACTAAACCACTATAGTGAGTAATAAGCCCCAGGGCAGGGACACACCTGTGACCTTTGCTGAGCCTTTCAGCTCCGTCCGTGGGCACGAAAAAGATTGAAGGTACCTCATCCCAACGAGGTTGGAACGAGACTGGACCCGAGTCGGATTTGCTGTCGAATGATTGACCCTCATAGCCGAAAAAGGTGGAATGATGTCGAAAGAAAGACTATATGTTGCCCCAATGAACTAAAGGTAGTTCCTTTCAGGTCCCTTTAATGACCATTGTTTTTATAGCCTTTGAATTTCAGGGCATAGCTTTTGGATCTCAACGAATAGAGTACTGACTGTAGCCCAAAGGGTCCATGACCATCAAAATCGCATGTCCTTTGGCCCTCAGTTCGACCATTCTCTGGATAGAAGTGCCTACAGATTATATGATCAACCACCTCCGAACGACTATCGGAACGGAACAATTGCTATACCTGGAATCTTCATGAATCTTCGGGATATCTTGTGAAGACCAAGCTCTTTTGAAGAATTCCCTCTGGCCTCCTTCGCCCCGTGCACGCGGTCTGAGCAGCATCACGAAGCTGCGCAGGGCGCGTTCGGCCAAGGTGGTGCTGCAGCGTACCCGACCCATCCAGGTCCAAGTGGGGATCCGATGCCTGGATCACAGGTACGGTACCCAATCGGTACCTCCGAAAAGAAGGCATGACTGGTCCCTCTTGCCCCCCCCCCAAACACCTTCTGTACTTTGGAGCCTTGGAGCCATGGGAAGATGATCTTTTAGTCCACTTACGGGTATCCTTTTTTAAGGTCCAGTCCATAGTAGTCCATAGCGGGCTGGGAAGGAAGAATTGATGACCCGTGGGGATGGTCCTTGTAGGCAGTGACGTTGCACGGCAAGAGTCGCTGGTTCTTATCATGCTCTTTCACGTGACACGTTTTGGATCGTTGTCAATATGATAGAAGTTCGGTGCATCTCATTGCAACGGACTGACACTGGTGAATAACATAATAGTTAAAAAGTTCACACACACAGCACATGCTACAGTTTTTCGTACATCATGACTGGGGATGGAACGACTCCAAAATAGGGGGAGAGAGTCAAACGATTGTCATTCCTATTCTGCACATACCGTACCCATCACATCAATAACTTTGAGAAGCTGTAGTTTGTAGACTAAGAACATCATGAACACCTGTTCAACTAAACGAGACATTCTGCAATGAATCGTGAGGTACCTTGACACGGACGCACCGACTGACGTGCCCGCACGTGTCATGTATTGTATCCGGAAATCTACTGACTCGACCTACCTGGGAGGGTCCAGGCTTGGAGCGCAGGTCTAGGAAGTGCCTCCCCACATCTCCATATAGAAAAGAACCGAAAAGAAAGAAGGGTCACAACATGTTTGAAAGGAATCGAAAGGACTGAGCTACCTGCGTAGCGTCCTTGCTCCGTTTGTAGCGATGCCCCTTGTTACCAGCTTCGTGCTACTAGGTTCAAACTCCTGTCCATCTCTCCCATCACGTCCGTCGACGGACTCGCCATGGTGCGTGAGGAAACTCTGGCGCTTCTGGCGGCTGGCAAAGCCGCAGCGTAGTTCGGGCAGGGAACGGAAGGAGCTGCCCCAAACACGGAGAGTGGTCGAAGCGTCCAGCACCTTCAGCCACATCGGTGGGCAGGTGGGGAGTCTGAGTGGAACAGGTCGACCAGTCTGGTCGACCTGAGCAGGGTCATACTCTTGGTGGACATGATACATCAACGTTAACTGTTGTTGATGCATCTTGTTCACTAGAATCCAGTGGAGAAGATTCATTTCCATCCCTTACTTCAGCACAATAGCTGATATCGTGTGGGATGATCCAATGCCTGAATTCCAACACCTCGTCCCCACAGTTGAACCATCTCTGACGAAAATAGAGAGGACGTCCTCCGATCGAGACTTCCTCCTGGAAGCGGAAACCCACCGAGATCTCTAGAGGAAGATCGTCTTCATAGTCCTTCCCCAGAAGTCAGCTTCCATAGCTGGCTGAGATCAAGCAAGACCCAATTGACCTCTGGCTTCAGGGACACATAACATGTTTGGGCTCCAAAACAGGGGTCGCTCAGGGTTCTAACATACCCAAACACTCCATGTATGTATGGCATGTACCTACATTGAAAGTTGAGACCTTTTCAACTACCCCAACGTATATAATTAGTATATATGGAGTGTTTGGGATACCTTGGATCTATCTTATTCCCTCTAGCAGTGGATGATGATGGCTAGGTTGCAATAGGTTGCGGGCCTTGTTCATAAATAGAGTGATTGGTTTCTTTAGAAACTGATGCAGGTAATGGGACAAACTGAAGGGGATACCCACTACTGACTGGTGCGACTCGTAGGGAATAAGGGAATAGAGATTCTATTGGAATCCAGCCACCAATCCATTCCCTCATTCCCTGCGACTCGCATTGCACCAGTCAGACTCTTTGCTTTTCCAACACCAGGGCGGCTGGTCCGAGTCCGACTCCGTCCATCGCCTCCTGGGGATGCACTTCGAAGAGTTCCGGTGGCTCCACGTATTCCTCGGCACCGCCAGGACGAGACGAGCACGGCCCGTTTCGGGTTTGGGTTGTTGCGAAGTAGATGTGTTGATTTCATCAACATGTGCATATCAATTGTTTGTTGTTGTTGTTGTTGTTGTTGTTGTCTTTTTTAGGTGCTGGTTGTTTCACCTAAACTGCAAAGTTTGGGCCAAGACCCATCGAGTCAGACCAGGACGTGCGGGCCATGTTCATGCCCTGTTCATACAATGTTCCACTTTGGACAAAAGAAAAGAACAACATCAACATACCAATATGATACTAAATATGTATCGATCTGTCTATGTAGTTGACGTTCCCCCTACAAGCCCGGCGAGCCTTCCTCCTCGCCGTTTGGAAAAAACACATCACGTCGGTGCCCTCCGAGCGTCCAAGGTGAGCTTGCCCTCGTGCCTCGCTTTCGGATGGATCTTTGGGGATGCATCGATGGAGAAAACGACAGAAGCAACCTATGTCATGGTAAGCATCTTGGGATCGAACTGAAGAGATCATCTGAATGATGTTCCTAAGTCACTTAATCAGTGTCCTTTTCCAAGTCTTTCACACTGATCTTCCAACAATCCACCCATCTCGGTCGTATTGATCCAAACATGCTCCCCAACAAAACAATCACAGTGTCTTTCTCTTTAGCCAACAAACATAACTCCAATCACGACCGCCTTCCGGTCGAATTCTCCCCCGCCTCACGGTCAGCTGCCCAAAGGCATCCTCATGCATCAAGTAGACCCGCCCGAAGCCCACCGTGCGTCGCGGCGCCATGCACCGGAGCTCCAAGGGCGAGACGCGCCGTGCCACGTCTACGTAGGTCACGCCCTCGAAGCCGCACCTGACAGGTAGGACCCGGTCCATCTGGGGTACTGGTCCTGAAAAAACCTCTGCTGGAAATGGATTTTGCCAATTCGGCAGAGACACGAGAGACGTGAAGAGATGTGAGACACCTGGTGGATTGGATGCATCAATGGTCTGGAAAGGGGCTGTGGGTGGAGGTTCGAGATGGATGAGTCTCGTTTTGGGGGGTTTGAAACCCTAACCAGTGACCAACTGAGGACAGGGAGGGACGTATTTGCAGAAGACTCTGAGGCTCTCAGTTGCCTGATGTTGCCAATGTGTTTTTGCACAGCAGGGTGTTTGGAAACGCGGTTGTGTGTGTGGTGGTGGGGCAAGGATAAGATGCCAAGGAAGCCAGCATGTCCCAAACTAGAAAAAATGAGCCGTGTGCTTTTGCACACGTTCGTCATTTGGCCCATGTAGTTCGGGAGCTGTGCTACTTTGACCCGCACACAAAGGAGGAACCACAAGAAGAACAGTTGGGTGTTTCGAATGTGACAAGGTGGAAAGTTTCAAAGTTTCGGGACCCTCTTGGCAAATGCCCTCCCATGAAACGTCATAGGGACTCCTGGCATCGCTACTATAGGAGCAAGGACGCTACTATAGGGGCGCTCCTGGCCTTACTACTAAGCCGACTTCTCCATTCCGACAATCTTCTCCCAAACAGCTGCCCTGTAACTTCTCAAGCTACTCCCTCAGTGTTTGCAATCCAAACATGTGCCTTTCACCGCATCGAAGAAACAATCGAAAAAACAAATCAGTCAGTTCTTGGCCTTGGAAGAGTCCAACTACAACTTCTTCCACAACTTCTGAAACGCTGTTTGATGCCAAAAAAAGATCAACAAAAGAGGCGGATAGAGATAATGCAGGCAATGCACAATTCACATGCATATCGAAGCGGTCAAAATTTGCTACCGCGGTGCCAGAGTTGTTCCATGTGTTCATCCCGGTGTTGGTATAAACGGAAAGTGGTTCGACAGACTCTGGTTAGTACAGAACAAAAGTCAAACGCTCCCAGTGTCGATTTCTTTGAGCTACATCCTAATGATTCATGTCACCCTGAATAATATGTTCTTTGTTTTTCGGATAGCCAGGCCACGTGAGATTTTCTCCAGGGAAGTCGCCATAGATGGCAAGTTCAGCTCCACCGTTCACGTGAACCAAGCTGGGATTGATGCTCGAAAGCATATCTACCTCGGTCTCTGATTCACGTTGTTTTGCTGTGTCACAAAAGGTGTTGTTTTTTTTGGAGATCCATAATATATTAATGGTGGACTTAGAGGCATTAGAGTGTATACAACTTGCTAGGTTTCCATCGACTGGCCGTGGATAGAATCATCATGATTGTTAAAGAGACCCGGGTATTTGTCAAGACATGATGTTAAGATGTATAATTACCAACTGCCATGGGATACAACTCACATAACCCAGCAAAACAATCCACACCAGCGAACGTACCATGGTACAAGGATGTATACAAGGCCTTCCCAAAGGCGAATCAACTCAGACTGCCCGGCGACAAAACGAGACGAGAGCGAGATCGGCCTAGGCCACCAAGTCCCGCCAGGCCCGAGCAGGAAGCCCAAGTTGAAAAAGTGCCGACCAGTTACGTTGCTGTTGTAATGGATCCCCAGTCCATCAACCATCTCATCCACCAGCTGTTTCTCACTGCAAGGTTCCTCCTGATTCGGAGCCGTTCGCACATCGTGCAAGCAGCTCGAGCCGCTGCTCGCTGTCTCGAAATGTGAGGATTTCGGGGGTGGAATCACAAACATACAGCCTCTGTGATGTTGCTAAATCACATATGGGCAGCAAAAAAGATGATCAAAACGATCGTGACAAAAACCGAAACCACCAGCACCCTAATTACTGGCGAATCAAATCAGCGAGGGCGGGAACATATATAACTAATTGTATTTAGAACTGTAAACAAAAGAACACAATATGTACTTGTTTAAACACCTGTTGTGGACGCGACAAGCCGACAACAAAAGCTGACTGACTCAAGATACTCAAGCCCCACCTCCTTGATGCACAAGGGTGGATTCTCAGAGTCTGAGAGACTCTCATTGCTTTCATTCAGCTCCTGGTGCTCGGTCCCCACCAGCAGCGAAGAGTCTCAACCGCAGAACCACCCCAAAGAGTAGCTTCTTGTTACTACTAGTAAGGCACTTGTTACTAGTAGCGATGCACTTGTTCCTAGTAGCTTATTGTTTCTGTGATGATCCTGGTTCTTCAAAGTGACCTTTTGATATCCTGGTTGGTTCGGTCACGAACAGGCCTCTAACAGGTCACGACTGGGGACTCCAAAAAGGTCTCAAACTGAAGAAGCTGGTACCAGCTGTGGGACATGCTTCTTCCCTGCTCCGCTTCGCACCACTTCGACCGACCGACCTGCAGCTGTTCACCGCGGTTCACGCACCGTGGCCGCGCCTCCGATGCGAGAAGGAAAACGGAACGTACGGATACTTGGAACATGTAGAACAGTACTGCAGTCGGTCATTGTTCTTGCCCTCTTGCAAAAGGACACATACCGAGTTTGTTTACCAATCTAAAGGAATTGAACCCAGTGGCACCTTTATCCAGTTCCAGCCTTGGCATCAAATACTACCAAGTGTTGACCACACGCTTCCAAAAGCGGCCTGTTGCCAGCCTCTTTTTTGCCCCAAATGTAATACATGTACTGACTTGTGACATTTATCTCGAGGCTACACTACGTGCTGTAGACAGGGTGAAGTCAACACTGCTAAAATGAACAGCTGAAGGCTTGGTTCTCATCTGAAGCCGGCTCACTCCCCTCAAACGTTTAAAAGGACAGTACCATGTGATGGATATGCTTACCCGGATTGAGCTGGTGCCCCGTGGAAAAATGCTTGAAAATGAGACCCAAAGGAAACCTTTGGGAGAACCGTCTAGACAAGGCCACAAGCTCCTGGCATCTCACGGGTCTCACATAAGGCAACCGCTTGCAACCGCTCGCCGTCTGACTCGCCGTCTGTTTTGGGTGGAAGAGAGCCCGTTCGTCACTCACCCATTCGATCAGTGGGGAATCCAAGAAACCCCAGAAAGCTTCGACGTTTGATGTGGCAGTTAACCTTACATCATCCACCCACACCCGGCCCGGGTGTTCTCGCTTCTCGCCTCGCGAGGGATCACCGGGACGCGGATCTGGAGATCGCCCGACACCGATGCGAGCGAGATCGGTCACCAGCACCCTCCCACCGGTTGAGACCTCGAAGAAATGCTTAACCCTCGAGACGGAGACGGAGGGTGCTAGAAGATTGACCACTGTGGGTCAGCCACCGGGAAAATTCTGGACCACCGGGAATGAACAGAATGGAGGTCAACCTACATCAACCTACCCTGATTTGGGGCTCCGGGTTTTGAACTACAACCACCATGTACAGTGAACATATAGACTGTCTAGACATCCGATGCGATCGCGCAACCCAATGCGCAACCCGATGTCGTCTCCATCTTCGGGTCAACACCCGACGGGTCTTTCGCTGGTTGACCCCATCAGCACGGTGATCACGTCTCAGTTGCCTGGTGGACACGTAAATACGAAGAAGCCTGGTGAAAAGGACTAAAGTTTACTGGACAGCTCCCAAAGATGCATGTCTTTAGCTTCCACCCAAGCTGTCTAGTTCAGCAAAACGCAGAAACATGTTTGAGAACCTACACCCATGGCACACTCACCATGCACCACCTGAGTTCCCAGCATCTACTGCAGAGGCAAAGAGGAACGTGAGGTGTCGCGGATAGTCCAATTCACGCTCCCTGAGTGCGAGATGCTGAAACGCTGGAGGATTCTCAACTGGTGTATTCCAAAGACATATACGGTATATACGGTATAGACTCCAACTCCAAAGCATGCGTTTCAATGATGTGACTATCTCTAAGCATTCTGACGACTAACACATATTAAAGGTATATTATATATTATGTTATTATAAGATTATAGAAGACGATTAGTAGATTGTGGCAAATATCAACTGCGATCTCGATACTCCATCTTGACCCCTCCAATCAAATGCAAATGAATCACCAGCCCCTGCCAGCACATCTGCGGGAGCCTAGGGCCCAGCAGAATGCCTATTCTGACCATTCATCAATCTTAATTTTGAAAAACAATGAACAACAATATGCGAAAATCGTCCAATGGATCTGCAAAAAGCACGTTCTCTTCCCCAACAACCTCCAGTCCCCCCAAAAACCTTTATTTCAACCTCCCAACAACTCGCCCCCAATGACCGAAGAAAACGACACGCCCAGAAAACAAACGAGAGGGCACGCTCTGGGCTCTCACACGTGAGGCTACAGCGCAACATGTTCTGTGAGGTCTGGATCGCAGGGAAAAGCACCTGCGGCGTGCGGTCCGCGGTCGCCAACTTTTGGGGGGGGCGTTGGTTCAACAATGTTGCAACTCAGTTGAGACATAGCTGGCCGCCGGCGCAACCAACGGCTCAGGGCCCCCACCCAGGTCTGGTTCCATTCCAACAAGCATTGCGGCCTCAAAAGCTGCGCGGGGCGCAGATCCAAGGTCTATGCGGTCAGATCGAAGGTCTAGGCCACTATTCCAGCCCTTTCATCATAGGGTGGGGCACGGAACGAGTTTGTACACTCCAGGATAAACCTTTATAGATTGGGAGAGTGGGACATGAAGAAAACCAACAAACACCACCAGACCCGACACACAACAGGACAAAGGGCAGTCGCTCAAAGGCATATGAATTTTTAGGATTGGTTAGTGGAGCACTGAATTCACCCATGAATGACCTACACTTATCACAGTCACTGAAAATAAATGTTCATGGATGTTGCAGGATTCGGCATATCACCGAGTCTGGAAACGGATCAGGGACCTTATCCCAAGAGTTTGCAACGCGCCATCTTTGCAACAGAACGGATATAGGGTCTCTTCGTTCAATTGGGCCCCGTGGGAGATTCGGGGAGTGGCCATTGGGCGATCTGGCAGTTGCACTGGTCTATCATTCTGGGTAAAACGAATTTAAATGAGTCATTTAAACTCTCAGGGTCATGAAATTGAAGGTTCACGTCCTCATCGCATCGATTCTCAAAAAACACCTCTGCTGGGGGAATCAGAGGTCTACTCTGGATCCCGGCATGGTGGCACTGACAAGGCCAGTGGGTCTGATGTATAACTCTAAACAGAATGGTCTAAACTATATGGGACCTGAAAGGGAACTTCCTTTACTTCACTATATAACGCACAGATAGTCTTTCAACTATTTTCAACTTCTAGGATAGGTAAGGCTTGGGCCATGGAAGCATCTGCCTCGTGGGGCCCAGCTAGCTCTGCCCTGCCCTGCACTGCCCTGCCCTCCCCCTCTCTCTCTCTCTCGCTCTCGCCCTACTAAGCTTTTCAACGGCCGGGACACTCCAAAGAGGGATGCAAGTGACGCCCCTGTGCATGGAGCCCGCGTCGTCCCGCTGCGCCTGAGCTCCCGACGTCTTGCGGTGGTGACCGGCGAAGTCGACGGCGAGTCCACGGCGACATATAGATATTGATATGTATATACTACCAGCACCCTCTAAGGGGTGCCCAATGGAAGCCTATAGGTAGTGTGGAGTAGTCCATTGGACACCCCTTGGAGGGTCCTGGTATGAGAGTTGTGAGTTTGTTGAAGGAGCACAATATGACTCATGGGATTGTTGAAGGCATGAATAGCGGCAATATGTCTTATGACTCATGTGATCATGTGAGTGGGCCCAACATGGCCCAACCAGCAATGCCCCTTTTGTCCATCAACAGCGCTACCACAACATGTCATGTTGTCAATGCTGGGTAAACATGATCATTGTCATGGTGAGGGACCAAACAATTAGTCTACCATAGTCTACCAAACGTTAAACAGAGCTGCTGAGTGGCCCGAGTCTGCAACGTTTTGCTGACCAAAACCATGGAGATGAATCAAACCAAACATCAGCCACGTAGCTTGGCTGTCTTTTTGGAATGCGTGCGATTTCGCGCCTGCTGGCCATGCCAAAGACACCGTTGGGGCGGGGAAAATGGCGATGCCTCAAGCAAGCGAGGCAAGTGACAGGAGTGGCAAAAACAACTTCTGCAGCGGTAAGATGGAAGTTCAATTCCATGTTCATTCTTCTCTGTGGTGTTGTCGAACCCTTACCAGTTTGTGACTCCTGAAGAAAGATGTATGTACCTATCCAATTTTTGAGGCATGCATCATGATGCATCATGATGTACATGTTTTGATGGGTATATATATACACACATAATATATATATATATATTATACACGATACACCGTTGTACGTACACCCTTGTTTCAAGAAGGCGGTCCAGCAATATGTTAGCCCGTACATGCACAAATGTACATCAAAGCATACTGAGTCACTGAGCAGTGCCAAGCAGCAGAATGCCATGAACTGTGCATCACAAACTACAAGTACATTGTGTTATATAACTGTTGTGACAAATTCCAGCTCAGCTTGCCAGATGTCTTACATACGACCAGAAACACAAAGAGTTCCAAGCTATACTAGTCAAACTGGTTGCACACGAGCGACCGTAGTAGAATGCCAGTGAACTTTAAGCGTGAACCCCTGTTTTCCAGCTGGAACCTCTCTGCACCACCCAGTATTTCTGGCTGACCCCATCAGTTTCCTGGAAAATAAACCGGATAGTCTTGTTTTCCGTCTTCTTGAGTGGAGAATCCATGTTAAAAGGCTTCTTAGCTTCTCCACTTTATGCATAAGCCGAGTGGTATGCCAGTCTGACCATGCTTGGCCACGCTTCGGAGACAGCCCGCCCGCCGAGATGCGATTGTGCCAATGCAAGAAGCGCGGACGCCAGGACATGCGCTGTGCCAAGCCTAACCTGGCAACGTGTCACATGAAGGGTGAAACTGCTTGGAGTCTCACAAGCATCCCGTTGGGGGCTCAGGGCGTGAAATTTTGGAGTGTGCACTCAGACTTGACTCCGCACTCTTCACCCGGATGCTCGAGCATCCAACAAAACACCATGCTTGAGCACAAGTGTACTGCCACACGAGGGCATCTGAATTACGATTAATTAAGATTAGGGTTGTCGGACCCTGAGTGAAAAAATGAAACTCTTTGCTGCGGTGCTCTTTCATCTACGAATTGACAAACGCGTCTTCTCACCAGAGTCACCATACCCGTTTTTCCGCTCCATGGCACCGGCGAACCCCCAAAGCCAGGTCAGCTTGACTCCACATGCACGTTGGAGAGCAGTTGATCCTCTCCTGGCTCGGTCCGGGCGTGACGCCCAGCGTGACGAACCCTTCATGTTTGCCAAGGCATGACGAGTGGGTCTGCCAGAACACGCGTTGTCGATCACAAGTGCGAAAGCCCACATGTATATATTTGTTATAAGATTTTATTACAATAAATGAAGTCAATTGCAAACGAGTTACTGGAGCTGGAGTTCCGGAAAGCGCAAAAGGACAGCGCTCTCACCACACTGGTTGAATTCTGTCTTTCTCCCCGCCTACCTGATCCATCTATAACCAAGGGAGCTATTCCTTACCCTAGCGTATCTGATGTCCAAGTCCCCGACCTGGGCACATGATCTCAAGCAAAAACTATATGTGACTGTGTTGATACGTACTAAAGTAATCGGACCGCAGATATGCATATTGTTTTCTGAGTACTCTGGGTGCGCTGACCTTTTCGTCACAAGACATGTTGCATAGTTTTTGCAGGCTATGTCTGGGTGAGCATAACACAGCGAGATTGTCAAATAAGCAGCAGCACACCAAGTCAACTAAAACATATTAAAACAGAAAGCTCTGGAATGAAAGCGCATGGAAGCCCGCCTGCTAGGTTGCTCCAAACTAATTGTTGCACACAAACCAAATAGATGCACATGGCATGAAAGGGAGCAAGAACTCGCCATGTTTGTCAGTTGGGCATATATCCTATTGCCAGTAAACAGTGGATGATGATGCTTAAAGCTAGGTTGCAGGCCGACATCTCAAACCATAGTGATCATCGGAACCCGAAGGATCCACTGCCGCCCTCTGAGGTACGGTGATGTGTTCAACACTGAGACATGAGATGGTGCCTAAACGTCGGGTCCAGTGCCTGTTATCAACTGGACACCCCCGGAACTTCAGGTCTTTGAGCCGAAAAACGGTAGCGACCCAGACACACCGCGCCTGGCGGGAAAACTGGCTTTCCATGGCCGACGCGTGGGTACCAACCTGGTGTGGCCGACTCGAGTTTTCGTCTGACTTGGGCTCCAAAGGACTTCAGTGAAACCATGCGAAACCTCCTCATGTCTGTCCGGCGTCGCCTTTTGAAAGCCTGACAGCCTCCGGGATTCCGTTCGTCTCCTCTGGTCACGTTCGGACGGACACCGTAGACAGTACTCGCCAACGTCGCCGGGCTCGGCGTTCGGGCGGAGGAAAGCAGCTTCGGAGACCGCCAGCAAACGGAAGAAGTTCACCCTAACGGAGGGCGCTGGGAGCGGATGGCGGCTCGCTAGCGGCGAGCTAGCGGCGTGACGGGCGTCTTGCGGCGTGACTCGAGGCTGATGTGCAAGATAAGAGAAGGAGAGCTCGGGAAAGACACACATAGAATAACCAGAAATCCAAACAGGAAGAAACAGTGGGTAACATGGTTAGCTTCTTGAGGTAGGGCTTATTAACTTGTTTGAGCAACCACACAGTGGAAGTCCCAAATGCCCAAATCAAAGCTTCATACAAGCTTTCACCACAGAGCTGGCAACATGGCTGAGGGATGTTGAGGGATGTTGAGGGTCTACAGTGCCCAAACACTCAGCAAGTCAGGTCCTCCATGCGAATCAGCCTCGAGTGAGCTACTCCAAACACAGAATCACCTCTGAAGAGCTACTCTGGGCTTGGCCATACAGTTAAAGCCGCTGTCCCTCCCGAAAACGACTGGAAAAAGCTTCTTCTTTGTAATTCCTCTCTTGGGCGCCTTCCTGCCCCTCCCTTCCCCTCCTTTCGGCGTCGAACTTTGCCTGTCGCAAAGGGATTGGCTGCAAAGGCTCCATGCGAAGGCCATGGACTCCGCCCAGGTCTTGCGCACCTGCCGCGTCGGTCTGAGCAGTTGTGTACAGCATGGCAGGGCAGAGGGGGTGGGCGGATGTTGGGTTCCAAGAAACTTCCTATAGAGGGGCGGGGAAGTTAGCTTGCAAAAGTTCTTGTGCATCGTGACCAAGGTGTGCTAAATTGAAACCATTGCAATGAGAAACAGTAAGTTTTGATGAGTTAAACAAGAGGATTATCCCCACTAGTGAGATGGTCTTGGGGTCTGCTTACAAGCTCTACAGGTATGGTATGGTATGGTCAATGGTCAACCGTGCAGCACTTGGTGAAACATTGTGAAACTGATCAGCTCGTAAACTAAAAGAACTCAAAACCCGGTGCTTCAAAAGAAGAACAGGCTGCCATGGGCAATTTTTGCTTCTTCTTGCAACTTGGTCATATATTCTTTGGCCATTGGAACCTCTTTCAGCCTTCTGCCATCTGCTGCCCGCCCTTCTGTCCCTTCCTCCTCCTCAATGATCTGGCTGTAGTTCAGTGGACTTCTCTCAAAGGCCGCGAAAAAGTCTTGGATCTGGCGCAGTTATGCGCAGTTCGTGGCGTTCTTTTTTCGATCTATGCTATGCGATGCAGGGCACCTCAACATATGCGAACATGTGCATTGTTGCACAGTGGCCAACAGATTCCTCTCCTCAGAATACGATGTTCAGGCTAAAATCTATTGATGCCTATTCAAACCAGAAACTTCATTGGGCTTGAATATTTTTGACAGGAAAACCAAACAAGACTGGGCAAGGCAGTCACATGCCAGCAAAGGGCCGCAAAAAGGTATAGCAAGCAAGCAACATGTGTTTGAACCTGTATAATATCTACATCACCGAAATCATGCGTCTATATTGACTGTCTTCTTGAACTTGCCACATCCAACGAACTGCCGCACCGTAGCTGGTGAGAGATCCTCTGCGCCACCCCGACTCCCTCCCACCGTCCGGACCGTCCGGCTTCGACCGTCTCGGTCGGTGCCTGCGGCACTTGACAGGTGGCGAGCTGGTCGTCGTCGTCGTCGAGCAGGGCCACTGCATCCACGTGGACAGCGGAGCCCGGATGGAGCTCGACTCGCCTGCGGGGACCCGCGCAGCGGCGAAAGCGGCCATGGCATAAAATCAAGTGACAGTGACATGGCACAAGAGGTGACATGAGGTCCACCAAGTGATGAGTGATGATCAGTGATGATGGTAGTTGATGAGACGGGATCGATTCGACGAAAGCAGGGGTAAGTGATGGTGATCGAGAACACGCTAGCTGATGATTCCACAGGACACCGTTTGAGGCTATTGAGACCCAAATCCTCTGGCAATATGATGAGATATGGCTTGTGCATAATGAACTGTTGCATATATATATATATATGACAAAATATATGCATCCAAACAAACACAATCTATGACCATACATCACAAACAGTGAACATGTAAACTTCAGCGTGTGGCATGGAAAACAAAACTATCCAATCTTTAAAACACGTGTCCTTGTTTCTTCATGTTTGACGACACATGGAGAACCTACGATGAAATCATGGGAACATTTCACCATCCAATCGACACGGTCGTCTCTGTCGATTCAACCTTGAGGGCATTCTTACTGGCGGAGCATGCAACGATGAAGGTGAAGGAGCCCGTTTTGGGGTGGTTTCAGAGTTAAACTAGATGCGTTGTTGTTGATGTTGTGGTATTTGCTTTTTCTTCAAGGGCTGACTTGATTGGGTACGTGACTTTGACCTTAACAGCCTGATCTTTTTCATTGGGAAACTGATCTCCCCCACCGGCTTCAGACCGGGCACCTAAGCTTATCAAGTTGATCCATGAGCCGCCCTTCTTCGCCAAGCAAATCTGGAAGATCTCCTTGGACAACGGACCAACGTATTGTTTTTGTGTTCCTAATTACTTTTTTCTGGTCATGTTGGTCAGTTCAGTGCCTTTTGGCGTCATGACAACTCATAGACAGGGTCTTTCAGTCTGTAGTGCTGGATTTCTTCGAAAGGGTCTGCATTGGCAGGAAGAACAGCAAAGATCTCAGTGACAGGCTTGCACTGGCATTTTCCATGGTCGCATTCTCAAAACACCAGCCTTGGCTCAGCTCACCAGTTGATTTGTCATGATCCGAACCGATCCAAACTCCATTTGAGACCATTTTGGTCTTCAATGCAATGCTCCTCCGATCCCAGGAGGAGTTCTGTACATGCAGAACCGCACATGTCCCAACAGTGATGACAAGGGTGCGTTGAATCAGCTATATACTGAATGTCTATATTCTGACACCAATTGATTTATGTCTAGACTTCAGTGGAATTTGGCCCTGGCTCTCTTCAAGGTCAGACCTCACTCTTCATTGGTCGGTTGCATTGCCAGTCCCCTGCTGAAAAGGCTTCCATATACTCTTCGCAAAGAATTGTATTCTGACAAACACTTGTAAACAATCTACCAGGACCCTCCGGCAGGTCACCAATTGAGACCTCTTAAGGCCCTTCCCAACCCTCAACCAACGACCTGTTGGAGGGTGCTGGTATTGTGAACATCCATGCGCGCAGAGAAAAACCTTGAAAGACCACCGACCACCTGATCCTTTTGAATCTGCAAACATCCCAAAACTGACACCTGGCTTCCTCCAAGGAACTGACCATTGGACTTTGCTGGGTTTGTGTCCCTTTTTGGTTGGGAGTCCCGTTGGGAGGGTCTCAAACCTCGCTCCCGCCTCGATACTCGTCCAGAATTCCATCACGAAGTGATTCACCCAAAAACCTGCTGCAGTTCGCATCTCGCTGTCCATGTCGCTGTCGGAATACAAAGATTCATCAGAAAAGAAAGGACAGAAAAAACATGTGGGACATCAAATCTGCTTCGAACATGTTTTGCAATCTTTTGAGGCATCATTCCATTTGTCCACAAAATCCAGTCAGAATCGTCCTGTCTGTCGCTGGGATCCCCGAAATGAACTGCTCCATCGACGTAGTTTCACATCAAGAAGCAACTCAGTGATATGAATCTTTCTGAGACGTACCAACACCAACACCAACACCAGTTCAGCGTCTGGTATGCCTTCGACCGTCTGGTCCACCTCTTGGATCTGACGGTCCAGGTCCAGTCCAGGTTGGGAACCTCCCACGGGCCGCCTTTCCATGAGCGTCAGAATGGCTTCAGGGCACCGGCGAGCCTGGGCGGGCCGGTGACAGGCAGTGCGGGGGACCGGTGACAGGTCGGGGCCGCTTGATTGCCCGGTTGAAATGGTTGTGTGTCTGGAAACGGACCTATTTGAGTAAACCACAAGCACTGACTGGATCGAAAGGGTTCCAAGGAACACTGACCGCAAGCACTGACTGAAAGGGAAGTTGTTGCAGGTCCGATGTGGCTACTGTAGCCTTTCGCTATGCCATGGCATCGTTCTGAAACACGTGTTTCACGTGCCGATAACCAGGCAGGTTCTGGGATCAAACATCAAACCTTTTTTGACGAATGTTCTGCCACACGTTGTGAAAAAAAGGCTTCTAAAGGACGTGCAATCCGGGAGCAATTTGAAAGGACACGCAAGGGCAAGGACACTGATGAACACTCAAGAATGTCCTAGGTCCTAGAGTGTCCTTGAGTGAGTGCCTGATCCACGGTTTGCTCGTGTGTGTGTGTGTGTGTGTGCCACACTCTGTTTCCAAGAGTTTTGATCGCAGGGGGTGGCAGCAGGAACGAGAGTCTGCCACCAACGAGGGCACTCTCGTTTTCCTGGTGATACTGGGACTGATCATCCCAGCGTAACTGCCTTGATGACAACACTCCAATCTCAGCTTGGTTTGCTGCCATGGTTGTTCTCATGATATCCCCAAAAACCTCCCCCCAGCCGGATTTTGCAGCTGAGTCACCACAGCCTTCCGCAGTCACGCGTAAACTCTGTTGTTGAAACACCTTCAACTCACTGGACCCAGCCGCCTTTCCGTTACAGCATTCATTTCACTGTGGATTATGGAAACTGCAAACCCTGTGGCTAAGTGTGTGTGTGTGTGTGTGTGTGTCCGTCCTCAAGTGTCCTTGAGTGTTTTTGTTCCTTTCTATGTTGTTCTTTTGCTTCTTCTTGAGGATTCCTTCTCTTACAAAAGCCTTGCTCTTCTCATTAACCCTTCTTCTTCATCCGTGCTTAGAATGAGGAAACAATTGCTTCTTCACTGCCTTCTTCTTAACCTTGTTGTTTACTTCATCTTAGAGTCTTAGGCCTTCCCATTCGTATAAACTCTTCATTTGCATACATCTGCCTCTTCTCAAAAGCTCTTCTTCATCTTAAGTCTGCACACTCAAGGACACTCGCGGGCAAACCGTGGACCAGCCACTCAAGGACACTCAAGATCTCAAGGACACTGACGGCCAAACAGCTCAAGGACGCTCAAGGACACTCATGAGCTCCAAGACACTCAGAGTGTCCACTCTGAGTGTCCTTTTTTGTGCACCTCTTACAACCACAACGCCGACTCCGCGATGTGGTCCCCTCCACAATGTCGTAACGGGTCACCGCTGTGAAAAGAAAAAAAACATCCCACAATATACTTATACATCTTATACTCCCAAAAAAGGAAACAAAACCCGAACAATAACCCATACAAAACCAATCGCCCAAATTGGAAAGAACCGACAAGTCGACGCGTTGACCGGACTCGACTCCTGACCTCCTCGGCGCTCCTCAAAGGAGGGCCTCAACCATGGCAAAGGCAGCTGTGTATTGGAACGAGTCGATATTCTGGTGTAAGTCAGTCCGTTAATTTCTATATTTAGTTGTTGGACCTAGCCTCAACTATATAAACATGGCCAGTCTCTAGTCTGAAAGCTCTTTTTGGAAGGATTAGTCTCAAGTACAATTCCGAGCGTGCGGTTCAAGCGGCCCGCTCGTGTTCCGAGGGGAAAGAAAGCAGCTTTCCAGCTCATCAGTCTGGATGCTTCGCATGTCTTAGCCATCTCGAACAAAAAAAACCGCATCCACGTTGTTTGCAGGTGCGCCTGAAGGACACTCTTTCTCCAGGTCCAAGTCAAACCTGAGCAAGGCCGAAATCAGCCAAGTCCTGATGTTTTTTTCGTCTCCGATTTTGCTGATTGACTGCTCAAGGGCGCATACGGCAGGCAAAGTGTGAGCTGACAAAAGGCAGCTTGTTCTTGGAAACTGCTAGAGGTCAAATCCTGTAATGCTTCCTGAATTGGAAGGTGCATCCTGCATTCACCAAACCAGTCAGAAGACACACACACAACAAAAAACATAAGAACACAGAAACGGAATGAAACGGATCTGCTAGTCTGCTAGCAAGATAGCTAATGCCGGCCACAGCATTAGAACCAAAGCGAGCCGTTTTGTGGGTCTTCCAGCATTGAGTGCCTTTGTAGGAGACCAGTCATGATTGTTTCACTCTCCAATAAAACTGTCCTCATCTCCTTTGCGTGGTTTCTCTGCAAACTAAGACATCTGCCACGGAGTGGGTGGAGCCTTTTTCGCCTCAAAAAACCATCATGCGCAGCTGCAGCTACACGTCATGCTATATGGCACATGGCTAACACCCATGTGCCATAACTTGATGGTTCAACGCGACGTTTGATATGTTCAACAATTGCTCCCGAATGACGAAGACGGGACAGCCTCTTTGTTGAAGCTACAGGATGCTACAGGCAGCGGGAATGACACGTCTTTCTGTCGTTTTCTCTCATCTTATTGGGTTTTCCAGCACAGTGACTCACAGTGTCCGAGCTTGGTGCTCGCGTCATGAACCACCACTCATAGCTGCTGTCGTTGCTGTCGTTTTCGCCTCGGTCGTTCGGTCGTTCGTCGCGGTGACGTGACGGTTCCAAACGACGGTCCAGCGGAAGGAATCGAAAGGAAGTCCAAGGATGGGAAGGCTTCGAAAGGCTGATAGGGTTTAGGGTTTAGGGCTAAATATCCTCTTGTGGCTTCGAATTTTTGCCTGTTCCATCGCTCCATCTCCACCCCAGCGATCCCTGAGAGTCTGGCTGTCGTCACTGGTGTTGTCTGCCGAGACGCGCGCGTCGGCTTGGAGGAAGAGGTAGCTAGCACTGCTCAAAGTTTGGGTACTAGTATAGGTTTATCCCATTGAGGGGAAGAAGAAACGACGAACACATACGAAAACCTACAAAAAGTATCAGTTTGATTTCATATTCTATAAAAACAAATTAAAGACATATTAATTATATGGATTGCACATGATCGCACTATGGATCGCATCTTGGTAAATTGGCTACTGTCTGTTGAAGAACAAAGTTGTCACCAACAAATTCATGTTTTGGGAGTTGTTCCACCGGCATTTTTCACGTCTGATCACCATTGCCAAAGGGGATAAACAAATATATCGATCACACACAGGCACCACTCAAAGGGTGGTTATTAGATAGTAGACAAATACATCTTCACGCGGGGGTCTATGAACCACCCTTGAAGAAAAAAACAGATTATATACAAGGTTTTTAATGTTAACTAACTTGTTAACTAATTGTTAGAGCGGGGTATTGCTAATCAAGAGTCTACATTAGCATATCCAAAGCTAGTGTCCAGCATTCATTTCACCGGGCACCGCCATGGCGCCCTATGTGTGTGCCCCGACCCGCATCGCCGTGCCTTGCGACTCGTCCACACCCGACCTAAAGAGGGGGGCGACTTGGGGAGCGAACGGCTGCGATATGCCTCAAGCTGACCCCAAGTCGTGCAAGCTAAATCCCCCCTACAACTCCATGTATATGATGTCCTAACTTGGGACGGAATAGATGGGGTCGATCTGGTATCCGATGTATGTTATATTGTATCCAATCTATTTCATCAACCAACATTAATAGTCACATCCCTACAATCATCCCAACCCTCGATACGAAAAATACGACTGGAGTCCGAATGATCAAACAACACACACACACAATGCATGTATGCTGGCTGATTCTATTAGATCTGTTACTGTAAATGGATCGCTGTTTATCATCATTTGCTCATGAATTGCTGGAGCGGGCCAATATCGTCGAAGTCGTCGCATCGAGTCGTCCAACCACACAGTGGCAAAACTGGGTGAACCGAATCCAGTTGACTGGGTGAACCGAATCGAGGACTGGAAAATACCTGGTTTTGTGAACTTTTTTTGGTGAATCCTTAAGAATCCGGGCCCGAACCAACACATGGGCTTTGGGAACCGGGTCCGGGAGCAGGGTTCGGATTCTTAGGGACCAATCCGGATCTGCCAACCTGAACACACCGTGCTTGTCCGATTCGTAAAACAAACGAATCGGGTTCCAACAGGCTGAATCTTCCGGCCGAAAAAAGACACGGCATGGACACTAAGCTTGTGACAGCCGTCGCATCGAGCTCTCCTCTGAGCCTGGCACGCCAAAACGGCAGGTGTAGGAAAAGGTAGAAGACATGGCTTCTGGTAGGAAGAACATGGGAAAACCATTGGAACACTCAGAGAAATCTGTCTTGTCCTCTTTCAAAGCAATTGCAATGCGCGTCTCATGTCTGTCTCATCCGGACGTTCAATCCGCCCAGTGGTCACGTTTCAGGGAGCTTCAGAATCACAAGAGGCTCGGGCCATACAAGGCAAATCGGGATTCAAACTCCGTGTCAAACAAGCGATTCATCTTGTCATCATAAATGACCACGGTCTCCAGCTTTCCACAGTTGCCCGCCAGCACCGCCGGTAGCTCGTGGATTTTCGAGACACTCTCCCAGTCGCCACGAGTGCAGTTGGCCAGGCACAAGTAACGCAAGAGAGGCCAGCCCTCGCAAGCCTTCATCAGGGTGATCGCCGGATCAGCCATGACCCGATCATACATATCCAAATGCTGCAGCATGTGACAGTGCTGACCCAGAGCTAAAACCCCCTCATCGATGAAAGCACGTTGAAAATCGCAATCATCAGCATTGAGATGAAGGTCTCTCAACATGGGACAAGCAGCTGCAACTTTCACCAGGTCCTTCGGATCAATCTGCTCATAGTAATTCACTGATAGCGAGATGAGGTTTGCGCAGCTGGCGGGAATCTGGGCTAAATCAGAAAGGACCGAGTCAGAAGTGTTGTTGCACGCTCCAGACACCTCGCAAAGACGAGGACCAATGGCTTGAAGGACCGCAATGTTCACAGCCTCAGCGGACCATGCGATACAAGTGGCTGGTGACATCTTCAAAGCCTCCACAGTGGAGCTCAAATCCTCGAGTTTGTGTTCCTCAAGAGCCTCAAGGAAGTCAATTCCGATCATCAAGGTGTCTGACTGCACGGTAGAAATCTCTGCTAAGATCTGATGGTTCGGAGTGAGGCTAGCTTGCAACACTTTTAGATTGAGCTTCTTCAGCCGCTGCACCGTGCTGAGATCGTTGATCCCTTTGAGCACCACATGCTCCAGCTGTTGGCAGCTTTCCAAGATCTGCTGCAAAGCCTCCTCGCTGAAGTGCACGTATTGAGCAAGGAGCTTGCGTAGCTCGGAACATTGGGCAATGGCCAAATAACTTTTGCCTAACCTGACAAGCGAACGTGCTTAAAACACACACACACAGATCTTCGGTGCCACAACTCACTGAAAACAAAGAACACCCAGCTTCATCACCAGCTGCAAGAAAATCTGACATGATTCCGTTCAGTCGGCTTTTCAAGCATTTGAAGGCATCAACTTCGACCAAACCCAGGAAAACCATCTGCTTTCACCCGAGCTCCCGCCTGTTGTTGAAATGGATCTCTAAAGACTTCAGCCGAGGACACTTGGCCAAAGCTGCCTCGAAAGTTGGAGCTTTTAACTTTTCAAGATCACCCAAAATCAGCTGCTCCATCTGCTCGGTTAGTAGCTCTGGTAGCTGCCGCAAGTCATTGCATTCATTGTAACCGATATCAAGGACTTTGAGTCGCAAGGATTTCTGCTTCAAACAGCCCAGGACTTCAGCATCAAAATGGTTCCGACTAGCCCAGAGCTCTTCCAAAGCCTCTGGCAAACACTGAAAGATTGCTAATAGGCTTAGAGGGCTGAATGCACACTGCCTGACATCTAGCACCATCAAAGAAGGCCGCATCTTGGACGTCAGCTCTTGCGCAATCTCCTCTCGTCGCGATGCAGATCTCACAAAGATCCCAGAGGCGTCCAGCACAGTGACGCCACCGACATCCAAGTCATCGGGCATGCGCCGGGGAAGCACTTCATGAAGACTGTTGGCCACCTTGGCGGGTGGCATCCATGCAACGAAGACCACATCAATGAGGTCCTCCTCCTTCAAGCCGCACTCCTCCAAACGACATCCCGGTGGTAGCAGTGTTCCTTGACTCGTAAGACGGACCGAGACCTGCTGGGATTTCTGAGTCGCCAGCTGGTGCGCGACATCATAGACAAAGTCGGATGCTTCAAAGTTGGCATCCAGCAATGTCCCATCCATGGTACGGAAAGAAAGCTTCATGGCTGTCTACTCCACAGCTCCTAATCGTCCTACAACCACACCAAACTTCCAATCAACAACCTGAGAAGCTGCAAAACGAAAGCCAGCGCTTCCCTTTCTCGAGAA